AGCTCAGCTTCAGTGCCAGGCGGGCAGTCAGAAAGTCGCTCGCAGTGCGTACACTCGGAGGCCTCGGCAGCGCAGAACATTCCCGGCTGGCAGCGGCACTGGGTCTTCCGTTTGCTTGTGCAGGGGGCAGTCTCCTCGAGACCCATCACTGGTGGGGAGACGGGAGGGCTCAGGGAGGGGCTGAGATCCAGGGGACCCAGCCTCCCCTCCCCCAGGCACATCGTCACTCACCTGGGTCACAGGGGCGGCACAGCTGGCAGATGGTCAGGTAGTTCCAGTACTCATTGTAGGAATTTTCAGCACATGTGGCACAAACCGTGTCGCGGCTGCGGCTGCATTTAGCTGAGACATAGGTGCCTAGAATGTGAGCGGGGCAGTGGAGCCTCAGGAGGCAGGGCTGCACCCTCACCTCCGCTGCCTGTGGGTGACCCCGGCCTGTCCCTCGGCTTCTCTGGCCTCCCATCACCCTGCCTGTGGCCCTCTGGCTCCCTCTCAGAGAGGTTAGAGGCCCAGTGGGGAGGGCCAGTCCCAGCTCCTGCAGGTGATGTCCAGGGTTTCCCACGCTCATCTCCAGCAGCCATTTTTCCTGGGGGGACAGTGCTCATCCTCCCGCTGAGGCCACAAGGGGGCTGGAGCCACCCCCCACCCCCGTGACCCGCCTCCGAGGCCCTGCTCTGTCCGGCCACTGCCTCTCACCTGGCGGGCAGCGGGAGCAGCAGATGCGGTGCCTGAGCTCGTAGTATTCCTTTTCCTGGTCCCTGCAGGTCTGGTTCTCCGACTCGTACGGAGGCACCTTCAGAGGGAGATGGAGAAGAGGGGAGGAAAGCTAGGGGTCAGCTCGGGAGGGCAGAGGGAATGAAGCGAGGGCTGCCCAGGCCCCTCTTCCCCACCCTCTCCCACCCCTGCCAGGTCCCCTTCCTCACCACCTGGGGCTGGGATGCTGCCAGGAGCCCAGCGAGGCCCAGCACCAGAGGCCCCCAGGCCAGGCCGCGGGCAGAGGTGGCCCAAGGCAGGCGCATGGCGGCCACTCGGCCAGCCGGCCAGCAGCGAGGGGGCCTGGGAGGAAGGCAGGAGGCCCGACGCCCTGGGCAGCGGTGGCGGCAGCGGCCGGAGCCCAGAGCCTGGGACCGGACTCAGGGCCGATGTGCCCCCCGGGGCCGGGAGCGGCCAGGCCGGGCCTCCAGGGCTCCCACGGCGGAGCTCAGGAAGTGGGAGTGCAGCAAGCTGGCTGCGGGGCGGGGACAGGGAGCGCTGGGAGCCGGGCCGCCCTGTCGCAATCGCAGCCAAGGGAAGAGGAACAGGCTTGTCTGCCTCGATGCAGGGCGGGAGGGGTGGCCGGGAAAGCACGTGAGGGCCGCGGGGCCGGAACCGGCCTCCTCCCTTCTTAGGAAGCCCGATCCGAGAGCCGGCTGCGGACAGCCCAGGCCCAGGAGGGACGGGCGGCGAGTCCCGGGGTCAGCCCTTGGACAAGCCTCGCGAGTTCCAGAGTGCACAGGGGACAGCTGGGTGTGGGATCTGGACAGTGAGGGGCTGGGGCCACGGCAGGACAGGCATGGAGAGGGCAGGGCACAGGGACTGCCAGGCTGAGGCCCAGGAGAACCGGCTGGGGCTGGCAGACGTCCGGGTTCCTGCCCTGCTGTGGGACTTTTTCAGACAAATTACAAGGGACTAGCAAGTCAGCCAGCCCCCTACACTGCCCACCCAGCCCAGTCCACACAGGAGTAGGCACAGGTCACCTAGGAGACCCTTGAGAGCGGTGTACCCAGCCCTGCTCTTTGTCCAGAGCTGGGAGCCCACCGAGTCCAGCCCTCTCCCCTTTAGCATGGAGAGGGAGGCCAAGGGTGACACATAAGGGGACCGGGATTCCAGGGTAGCCTCGTCTGGTTCCTGTCTCCTTTCTTCCCCTCATCTCCCTCACCTCTTAGCAGCCCACCCACCCATGGAGCTACTTGCAGCTCCCTCCTTTTACACGTGGCTCTCTGGTCCCCAAGTTTCTGTCTTCCTAACTCCCACCTGTCCTTGAGGCTTCACCGAGGCTCTGGGGGGCATCCTCTGCCCTAGGTTACGCAGTCCCCGTGAAGGCTGCCCTCTTTCTGTACCTTGTTGTCTTGTCTGCCTCCCACCAGGCTGTGAGTGCCGCAGTGGCCCAGACTGAATCTTCAAGGCTATGTTCCCCGTGCATAGCAGAGTCTGGCACATACCATGTGCCCAATACGTATTTATGGAATAAACAGGTGATGGCCACATCACAGAGCCAGTCCACAGCAGAGCCAGCTACAATCTGAGTCCCCTGATGTCTAGGTCCCAGCTCATTCCAGCCGTCCTGCCACCTCCTTGTGGCTCAGGGGTGTCTCCCTTGGAATGAGGGGCTAAATTCTCTTGAGATAGGTCACTTGGGCACCATCTCCCTCCCTGAAGGACTCAGTTCAGCACTCATCCTTACACTGGTCTGTCTAATTTTGGGTCTGATGTCTGGGCAGGCTCTTGGTGCAGGTAATGGGAAGTGTGCATGGGGAGGAGAGATCACAAAAGGGTGAAAGGACCTGCCCAGGCGGTAGGCATTTCACTTGGTGAGGCTCTCTCCCCTCACCTGGTGCAGGCAGCTCGCTGCACAGATGAACCATGGATGGCCGGAAAGGGCAGGAGGATCGGAGCATCGTGGGGCTGCTGCTCCTTCCAGATCCCTAGTGCTGGGGGCTGGATGAGACTCCCCACTGAGCTCGTACATGCGTAAAGGAATGTGTGTGTGGTGACCCTAGGTCCTTTTATCTCTCTCTTATTTTTGCTTTTTACTGTGGAAATTTCACACCCAAGATAATATACCAAAAGAAAAAAACTAAGATTGGAAGTCTCCCATATACTCCCTACCTAGCTTCCACTCACGGTCAGTTTCATTTATTCTGTATACCCCCTCCCCCACCAACATACACACTCGTCTAATCCCTCACGATTATTTTGAAGTAAATCCCAGACATTGTATCATTTCATCTGAAAATATCTCAGGATTGCCGGGAGAGGTGGCTCACACCTGTAATCCCAGCCCTTTGGGAGGCTGAGGGGGGCAGATCACCTGAGGTCGGGAGTTCAAGACCAGCCTGGGCAAGATGGTGAAACCCCAGCTCTACTAAAAATACAAAATTAGCTGGGTGTGGTGGTGCATGCCTGTGATCCCAGCTACTCGGGAAGCTGAGGCAGGAGAATCACTTGAACCCGGAAGATGGAGAATGCAGTGAGCCAAGATTACACCATTGCACTCCAGCCTGGGCAACAAGAGCAAAACTCTGCCTCAAAAAAAAAAAATAAAGAAAATATTTTAGGATTTTACTCTAGAAGACAGGGACTCCTTTTCTTTTTCTTTTTTCCCCACCCTGTCTTACAGTGCTGAGACCCTGCCTTTAAATCAAGGTATAACATATAATACAATGAAGCACATAAAGCATACTGATCTTACAGATATGGCTCAGAGAATTTTCACTTTTGTGTATTCTTGCATATCCCCTAACTGTTCCAGAACGTTTCTTGTACTACAGAAGGTCGCTGCGTGCCCTTCCCAGTCAAAGCTTCCTGCTTCACAGATAACCACTATGTCAGACCCCTTTTAACCCCAGCTGGCTGGAGTGTCTCCTTCTTTCCGCTGCCAGCCCCAAGCTGGCACTTCAGCCCTCAGGGACTCTCTACCCCCTAAGGAAAGAGCCCTGAAATCTGGGTTTTGATTTTGGCCACATCACTTTATCTCTGTGCGCCTCTTTATTGTGCCAGTCAGCCACTGGTTCGCTTGCAGACCTGTGAGATGGAGGTGGGTGGGAGGAGAGAAGCAGCCAGCTATTCCTCCTCTCTCTGCTTTCTGGCTTCACCTGCAGTTGGTTGCCTTCCTCCCTTCCCTCCTACCTGAATCCCATCTCCTACAAGTTCCACACTATTTAGTTCCTGCCACATGGCTCCAAAGGCTTCCTGGTCTTTGATCACTCCATCACCTTGCCATCTTTCCAGGCCTAGAGATGGTAGCTGCTTCCTGCTTTGCTGTTTTCTGAGCTGCCTCCCATAGTGCTTCCATCACCTATGTACCAGTTAGTTTCCTGTGCTAAATTCCTGTTTGTTTGTTTTTTTTTTTTGGTTGGGGGAAACGGAGTTTCACTCTTGTTATCCAGGCTGGAGTGCAATGGTATAATCTCGGCTCATCGAAACCTCCACTTCCCAGGTTCAAGCAAGTCTCCTGCCTCAGCCTCCCGAGTAGCTGGGATTACAGGCATGTACCAACACGCCCAGCTAATTTTGTATTTTTTTAGTAGAGACAGGGTTTCTCCATGCTGGTCAGGCTGGTCTCGAACTCCCGACCTCAGTGATCGGCCCGCCTTGGCCTCCCAAAGCGCTGGGATTACAGGCATGACCCACTGCGCCCGGCTTAAATTCCTGCTGTTTGAAAGACTTAGAGTGTTTCTTGTTTCCCAGCTGGATCATGAAAGACAAACCTTACCAATAAATGGCTACTATAAATCCCAGCCTTCCCCAGGAAGATAAAGGGAGACTCACAGGGGTGAGAAATCCATGAGCTCACGTGGGCAGGCATTGTCTTTGCTTCTTTCCTTTTGTGTTCTTCACCAGTCTCCCTGAGGCTGATTTCCACTGGGCAACACCAGATCCAGGTCAAGTGTCCCAGGACTCCTAGAAGATGTATGAGGGTGGGGCTCTTCTCCCAGGCCTTCTTCAGACGGAGCTGCTGAGAGAGCCTTCATCCCGCAGGCCCATGAGGCATCCAGAAAGGGGGTTGGTGGAAATGGATTCTTCTTTTTTTATTTTTTCAGAGTCTCACAGTCTGTCGCTGGGGCTGGAGTGCAATGGTTCAATCTTGGCTCACTACAACCCCCGCCTCCCAGGTTCAAGCGATTCTCCTGGACTCACCCTCCCCAGTTAAGTAGCTGGGACTACAGGCATGCACCAACAGGCCCGGTTACTTTTTGTATTTTTAGTAGAGATGGTGTTTCGTCATGTTGGCCAGGCTGTTTTTGAATTCCTGGCCTCAAGTCATTCGCCTACCTCAGCCTCCCAAAGTGCAAAGTGCGTGAGTCACTCCACCCAGCCAGGAATGGATTCTTCTAAATCCTCTTTCTTTGTCTCTTCTTTCCCACTCTGCTCTTAACTGACTAGTGCTCTTGGAAAGGGTCTGGCAAACACCCAGAAGTGCATAACTGTTGAGGGTCGTCCTTCTCCAGAGTGTTTGCATTTTCAGTGGTGACAATGCCTTGACCCAGTCTTTTCAGCAGTGGTGACTTTGCCCCCCAGAAGTCACTTGGCAATATTTGGAGATAGTTTTGGTCATGAAGGCTCAAGAGGAAGTGCTACTGGCATCTAACAGATGGAAGCCAGGGATGCTGCTAAACATGCTGCGATGCACAGAATTGTAGATAGGACAGAATCATCCTGTCCCACCACAGAGAATGATACAGCTGAAAATGTCAATAATGCCAAGGTTGGTAAACCCTGTCTTTTTTTTGAGACAGAGTCTTGCTCTTTCACCAGGTGCCAGGCTGGAGTGCAGTGGCATCATCTCGGCTCACTGCAACCTCGGCCTCCTGGGTTCAAGCAATTCTCCTGCCTCAGCCTCCCAAGTAGCTGGGGCTACAGGCGAGCACCACCACACCTGGTTAATTTTTGTATTTTAGTAGAGATGGGGTTTTACCATGTTAGCCAGGATGGTCTTGATCTCTTGACCTCATGATCCACCCACCTCGCCTCCCAAAGTGCTGGGATTATAGGCGTGAGCCACCTCACCCGGCCAACCCGGTCTTAACTCAAAGTGATAAACTTCTAATAGTGAGCTTCTAAGTAACCTGCCAGGGCACTAGAGGAAGAGTGGCATTTTTCTGGTCCATCATTTTAGATGAAAGACAAATCTGAGGCTGGGCGCACTGGCTCACACCTGTAATCCCAGCACTTTGGGAGGTGGAGGTGGGTGGATCACAAGGTCAAGAGATCGAGACCATCCTGGCCAACATGGTGAAACCCCGTCTCTACTAAAAATATAAAAATTAGCTGGGCGTGGTGACATGTGCCTGTAGTCCTAGCTACTTAGGAGGCTGAGGAAGGAGAATTGCTTGAACCCGGGAGGTGGAGGTTGCAGTGAGCCGAGGTCACGCCACTGAACTTCAACCTGGCAATAGATCAAGACTCCGTCTCAAAAAGAAAAAAAAAAAAGAAAGAAAGAAAGAAAGAGAGAGAGAGAAATCTGTATTACATAAGGGCAGCTAAAAGGACTGCTGCCTTCCATAGTGAGCAGCCCAGTGTGGAGTGGCTAATGGCTCCAAGTGGTAAGAATAAAGAGTTGCATTTAACTAAGTAACTGACTCTCATCCTGGAAAGGATAGAAATGAAAAGGAAAAAGTGAAGAAAATTTAGATAAATTAATAGCCCACAAATAAACGGGTTGTCAGAGGAAGTCAGGATGGTTGAAGTTTTGCAGCTGCTTTCTCACAGCATATCCTGCTCTGTCAAAGATAAACCTTGAGTCTTACCCAAGAAGGTAGTTCTGCTGTCTTCCGCAGAGTGGGTCAGCAAGCAGTGACCACTAGACACTGAGGTCGCCAAGGTCAAGACGCCTGGTCTCTCTCCTTGCATAGGTACAAACACACATACATCAGGATAGTAGTAAATAATAATAATAAATAATAGTAAACAGTGGTAAGTGCAGGGATAGGCTCTCCCCGGTGGGGGGAGGGAAGGGCGATGACTTTGTCACCTCCTGTCTGCAAAGAACAAGAGTCAGGAAGACCCTTCGCTCTCATAACCCTCATCCCACAGCAGCCCTCTGGTTTCACTTCTCTCCCTGCAGCCATGCACATTTTTTGGCCACGCCACAGGGTTAGAGGATGGCTAGTGTTGGGAGGGGAAGGCAGCCCTAGGTTGACGGGAAGGGCTGGGGCTCTGGGGGAGTCTGGGGTGGTCCTGGGAAGGCAGGGGGTCCTTCCAAGACAGAGTCTACAAAGCCCTTGACTTCTTTTTTTGATTTTTTAGAAGGAGTCTTGCTCTGTCACCTAGGCTGGAGTGCAATCACGCTATTTCAGCTCACTGCAACTTCTACCTCCTTGGTTCAAACAATTTTCCTGCCTCAGCCTCCCTGGCTAATTTTTGCATTTTTAGTAGAGACAGGGTTTCACCATGTTCGCCAGGCTAGACTTGAACTCCTGACCTCAGGTGATCCACCCGCCTTGGCCTCCCAAAGTGTTGGGATTACAGGCATGAGCCACTGTGCCCAGCCTTGACTTCTTATAGAACAAAACCGCACTTCCCTCAAAGTCAGAGAAAGAGAACTGAGCTTCGAAAGGAGTCGCCTAGTTCTCAATCTGGCCCCACCCCTAACTCCTGGATGACTGTGGCCAAGTCACTTTGCTTCTGTGGGCCTCAGTCCCCTCATGCGTGAAGCAGGGGGCTAGATGCAGGGTCAGCTGGAAAAAGTCTTTGTGCCCATCTGGGCTGCCTTACCCACCCCTTCTTGCCCTTTCGTTTTCTTAGGTAAGGCCACTGAGGCTCAGAGAGGTCAAGTGCCTTTCTCAAAGTCACATAGTTTAAAAGCAAAAATAAGGGCTGAATATGGTGGCTTACACTTGTAATCACAGCAGTTTAGGAGGCTGAGGCAGGAGGACCACTTGAGCCCAGGAGCTGGAGGCTGCAGTGAGCCATGATCCTCCAGCTGGAGGACAGCAGCATGATACTGTCTTTAGTTAACCATTTTTTTTTTTTTTTCCCAATAGAGACAGAGTTTCTCCATGTTGGCCAGGCTGGTCTCGAGCTCCTGACCTCAGGTGATCCACCTGCCTCAGCCTCCCAAAGTGCTGGGATTATAGGCATGAGCCACCACGCCCGGCTTGATACTGTCTTTAAAATAAATAAGTAAATAAAAGCAAAAATGGAAGTTGTAGAAAAACAGCGCTATTCTTCTGGAGGTTCTGAAAAGCACCTCCCTGGTTTTTCTATTTGCCTCTTATAAAAAAAGAACTATATATTTTGTTTTTTAAAAATAAATGTTAAGTTGGCCAGGCGTGGTGGCTCATGCCTGTAATTCCAGCACTTTGGGAGGCTGAGGCAGGTGGATGATGAGGTCAGGAGTTCAAGACCAGACTGGCCAACATGGTGAAACCCTGTCTCTACTAAAAAATACAAAAATTAGCTGGGCGTGGTGACTCATGCCTGTAATCCCAGCTACTTGGGAGACTGAAGTAGGAGAATTGCTTGAACCGGGACCCAGGAGGCGGAGGCTGCAGTGAGCTGAGATCGTGCCACTGCACTCCAGCCTGGGCTACAGAGCGAGACTCCATCTCAAAGAAAAAAAAATACATGTAAGTTTATAAAGGCACACGAAAAGATATAGGCAAATATATAAATTACGGAGGCTTCCCTCGGGGGAGGGAAAGGAGGGGACAAAGGGAAGCTTTATTGCTCTATATACTTCTATATTGCTGGAAAATTGTATTGTGACAAAACATATTTGTGGATTATTTGTACACTTTAAAAGAAGCATCGTTAAAATGGACTTCTGACCAAAGTGCAGGTCTCAGATGTCTATTTTCCTCACAACACCAAGCTGCCCTAGCCCACTCCGGGTCTAGAATACTGCAGTGCTAGGCCACTGCCACTCCCATACCTGGCAGGACATGGCAGGGTCACCACTCTTTGGCTCAGCCCAGACCAGGCATTGCAATTCTTCTCACAGAGACCTTGATAAGAAAACTGTTTGCCATGCTGCCTTAAGCCAGTGGTTGGATTTCAGGCTCGAGCTAGCAAATAGAAAAGGCAGGGAGGTGCTTTTCAGAACCGTTGAGATCAAACAGCCAGGGCGCTGAGCCCCGTGTTTGCAGGGAGGACCATGGCCAATGTAAGAGCCTGGCTCAAGGGACACCAGAGTTTCTGGGGGTATCTGGGATCTTTGGGGCAGTGGGGACAGTGCAGAGAGCTTTTCACAGAGCCAAGGAGATAACCCAGCGCCCAGAGAGTGGATGAATCCATGGGCTCTGTGTGGGAGTGAGGGGGGCCTTCCCGGCTTTCACATCCAGGTGCATGGGAGCCCCGATCCCCCATGAGTCTGTCTCAGAAGTAAATGGCAAAAGTGCTAAGGAGACAACCCCAGAGGAGGGGGAGAATTCTGAATTGTTTATAGCTCTGTTGTTATTTTGTTTTGTAACCTCAGAAAACTGGTTTATCCTTGGGAAGAGTTAGTTTCTTCATCAGGACAATGAAGAAAAATCCAGCCATCCCTTCCTAGGGGAGGTACCATGAGCGGTGTGAAGGTAAGCAAGGGGACCTGGTTTGGAATCCTGGCTGACACCGGCTCTCACTTTAAGAAACTGCAAGGGATGGCCACAAGAGAGGAAGCCACAGACCAGGCTGGACCCTGAGCCTGGTGTACCACTTTTTCTCTCCTTTGCCTGGTAAACTCCTTGCTCTTCAAGATTCAGGGCCGGGCGCGGTGGCTCACGCCTGTAATCCTAGCACTTTGGGAGGCCGAGACGAGCAGATCACAAGGTCAAGAGATCAAGACCATCCAGGCCAACATGGTGAAACCCCGTTTCTGCAAAAAAATACAAAAAGTAGCTGGGCATGGTGGCGCAGACCTGTAGTCCCAGCTACTCGGGAAGCTGAGGCAGGAGAATCGCTTGAACCTGGGAGGAGGAGGTTGCAGTGAGCCGGGATCGTGCCACTGCACTCCAGCCTGGTGACAGAGCGAGACTCTGTCTCAAAAAGAAAAAAAAAAAAACAAAAAACAAAACAGGTTCAGCAGAGATGACACCTTCTCTGGGAAGGTTTCCTGAGTCTCCTGCAGTGAGCTCCCCTGCCTCCCTCCCTAGGCTCCCCCAGCCCTTGGCTCTTATCTCTTAGCTCTTATCTCTCAGTAATCTGAGACCCGCATTTTGGTTAGAAGTCTATTTTTAAAATGATCTTTTAAAATGTGTACATAGAAACCTTATCTTAAGATACTACAGCGACCTATTTGCAGGCCTAAGTACCCCCCAAGTCTGTATGGGTGCTCAGGCTGGGCCTTTGTCTGCAGGCTTGCGGAGGGAGGCAAGACGGGCCAGTGACCACATTCCTGCACTCTGGGCTGCCTCCGATGGGGCCCTGGAGGGAGCCGCAGCCCTCCCCATTGCGTGCAGGGCCTGGGCTGTGTGGGTGGTTCTCCCGAGTCTCCTCCAGCCCTGTTTTTGGGCCTGATTCTCTGACCCTTCCCTCTCTCCTTACCACTTGGCACTTCACTCCTTATCCTTTTGCTGCATTAGGTTTAGAAAGAGATTTTGGAGAAAAATATAGCCCCTGCCGATGAGTTTCTCCTCCTTTCAGGGCCTGTGCAGGCTTGTGCCATGCCCCCCCTCTTCCTCCCCGACAGCCAGCGCCGGCCACATCCTCCCTGCACCTTGTCTGCTTTCCCTGCCTCTCCCCAGGCTCCGGGTCTGTGCCCACAGTGTCCTGCCTGGCCCTGGCGCCGCCTCTGGGTGCCCACATTCCTGCAACCCCGTGACCACAACAGGGGCCATTACACATTCCTGGCCTGGCAGCCAATGGTGTAAAACAGAACAGAATGTCCTAGGGCCCTGCCCAGCCCCCAGCCTTACCTGGGCCCCTCCCTGGGTCTGGACAAGGTTGGAGGGGGTGGTGAGGAATCAGCAGGAAAGAGGATGGACCAGGTGGAGACAGATGCACCCCACCTGAGTGTGCTGCTCCCCCACCTGAATGAGCGGGGAGGAGACTTACAGAGACCTCTTCTCTCTTCTCTCCAGGGCCTGGGGGTGAGGCTGACCTGTGAGTGCCCTTGGAGGGTTTCCCACTTGCAGAGACTCTAGCCCCTGGAAGCACACTTAGGACTCCCCCCTTGCACTCCTACCTGAGAGAGGCTCCCTTTGGGGCCGGTTCCTTCTCTTTGCGGCCCCATCTCCACCTCTTCTCACTCGGTGCCCCCCCATCCCTGTCTCTCCATCCTGCGCTGTCCGCTGTCCCTCACTATTATCTCCCTTTTTCTGTCCTCCCGTCCTCTGGGTTCCCCGCCCAGGCCCTCTCAACCTGGCTGGCCCCTTCTCTTTGTGCTGCCCTCCAGGCTGTGGGCTCGGCATCCTGCTACTTATTCAGATCTTTGCCCCTCACCCTCCATCCTGTCTGCCAGCCTCCTTGCCTATCAGCTCCGAATCAAAATCCCTGCCCAGAGTCCGCCTTCTCAGGTCCAGTACTCCGGGTTCACCTGCCCTCTGGAGCCCTCCTCCTTTCGGAAAACTCCCAGCTCCGACTCCTACTCGGCCCCTCCCCACGCCCTGCTCACCTTTAATTGAGATGCTAATGAGGTTCCTGTCGCTTCCATCCCTGGCAAGCCGGCAGGCGGGCTCCCCAGTCAGGCCGCTGCACCTGTCAGGTGAGGGGGAGGAGAGGCTTGGCTGCCAGATTCAACTGGAAAGGAACCAGTCCCAGTCCAGCCGCAACCTGGGAGTGGGAAGCTGGAGGCAGCCCAGACCTTCCGAAGCCCTGCTGTCCTAGGGCGGAGACGGAATCAGGACACAGCTCGAGGTCAGGGCCAGAGGGTGGAGGTGAGGGGGTCAAGGCAAGGGGGAAGAAGAAGAGAGGCAGGATCAGAGAGAGCAGCCAGGCCAGGAAGAGGAGAGCTGGGAGACACCCAAAGAGAAACAGAAGGCAGACAGAGAGGGAGTGAGAGGCAGGAGCTGAGACAGATCCCAGAGGAAGAAGACCGAAGGAGGAGGGCAGAGACTGCTTCGGACACAGAAAGGGAGGCGCTAGGACAGAAACCAAAAGGTGGCCCTATCAGGGAAGTAGAGGGGAGGCGGTTCCGGGAAGCCCAGCCGCGACACTTCTGGCCCCCACTCCCGCAGGTCTGCTGGCTCCAGGAAAGGTGGAAGAGGGAGGGAGGAGTGGGAGAATGTGGGCACTGGGTGGGACGTGGGCCTGGCCAGGGGCAGCCTCACTCAGGTTCCAGAGGTGATGGGAGAGGGCACTCAGGGCCCAGAGCTCAGCCTTGACCCTGACCCTTGCTCTCCCTAGTCCACCCCGGGGCTCATGAAGGGGGACAAGCTGGAGGAGCAGGACCCTAAAGCTCCGCAGCCCACGCCAGGGCTCAGGAAAGGGGACAAGCTGAAGGAGCAGGACTCTAGCCCTCCACAGCCCACCCCAAGGCCCAGGAAGGGGGACAAGCATGAGGAGCAGAGGCTGGGCCCCGAACCGGCGGCGCCCCAGCAGCCCACGGCGGAGGAGGAGGCCCTGATCGAGTTCCACCGCTCCTACCGAGAGCTCTTCGAGTTCTTCTGCAACAACACCACCATCCACGGTGCCATCCGCCTGGTGTGCTCGCAGCACAACCGCATGAAGACGGCCTTCTGGGCAGTGCTGTGGCTCTGCACCTTCTGCGTGATGTACTGGCAATTCGGCCTGCTGTTCGGGGAGTACTTCAGCTACCCCGTGAGCCTCAACATCAACCTCAACTCCGACAAGCTCGTCTTCCCCGCGGTCACCATCTGCACCCTCAACCCCTACAGGTCGGTCAGTCCCGCTGCCTCTTCCTGGCACCTGCGCCTGGAAGGGTGGTCCAGGGTGCTGAGGTGCTCACTGGGCAGGCAGAGCCTCAGACCTGAGGGTGAGGAGCCCCCAGCTTGCTGGACTGACGTCCCTGCCCAGTGGAGCCATCCTAGCACCCGAGGCTCACCCAGAGTGTGGTTGTCAGAGGAGCCTTGCCCTCCCCTGCCCTCTCTTCTCCTTCCCTCCCGTTCTCTTCTCCCTCCTGCAAGTGGGAGGGAGTGCTTGCAAAAGGGCAGGGGTGTGCTCAGCTCCATCCCTCTTTGGGGACAAGATGCCAGCCAAGTATAAGACCTCGTCCACCTCAGCAGGAGAGTCTGATGGAGAGGTGAGCCTAGGTGAGGGGAGGCGAGGCCATGCAGGTGCTGCGGAGGTGGGTGCTGTCGGTCTTTGTTCAGAAGGGGATGAAACAAATTTATGTTATGGAGAAAGCAAGGTGGGGGGTCGTGGAGGTTAGGGCTGCAAGTGAGCCCGAAGGCTGGGGACAGATGCCTTACAGAGCAAGGAGAATGGGTCCAGCCAGAGAGCAGCTCCTTGTGACACTGTTCCCCCAAGATCCCCAGGCTGAAAAGTGGAGGCGATCCCTCCGGCCGCACTGTTCACCTGCGCAGCTGCCTGACCTTTCCGTGCTTGGGTGTGTCCTGGAGTTTTGGGTTTCCTCAGCGCTCTTTGCCAGTGTTGGATCTGGAAACCAGAGGGGGTGGTAAGCATGGAGAGGAGAGGAGGGCAGGGCTGGTTGTTTTTATGTACCTTCTATTTGTATTCACTCAGCCACGCCACACCTTGGGGACACCTACGTCAAGCCAGATACCGGGCTAGACACCTGGCAAATGGATTCATGAATAATTCATACACCCTTATTGAAGGCCGGGTAGTTTGCTGAGTTCTGGGGACAGAAAGCTAAAATAAGACGGCAGAGACAGGTATATAGGCCAGCAGCTGTGGCACACTGGGATACGTATGATAAAAATGGTGAGTTAGTGTGCCTTCAAGGAGTGTAAAACCTTTATGAGTGTGAGTGTGTGTGTACATACTGGTATGTGTGTGATTATGGATGCTTGGGACTGGTCACACTGTGGGTGGAGGCCCCTTCATATATTCCATCATGTCCAAAGGTGTGTTATGGACTGAGAAAGGTTGGGACGTCCTGTCCTGGAGAGAAGAAAAAGCCAGGCCCTTTTGTTAATTAACCTCTGTATGCCGTCCCGGGTAGGCCCATTTCCTTAGGAAGCTGCCGTGTGCACAGACAGCGCCAAGGTGTCTGCAGGCATCTCATTCCATTCTCACATCTTACCAGGCAGGTGCTCTTGTTATCCCTATTTTACACTTGAGGAGACTAAGGCAAAGAGAGGCAAGCCACAATGTCACCGAGCGAGTCACTGAACTGTGACTCATCCTGTCTACACCTCATCCCAAAACTCTGCCTCTTTTTAATAGCCAAGATGTGAGGTGTTGAGTGAATGAAATTTTCAGTCAGATGTGGTTTCCATCTCATTTCAGAGCTCTCGTGGGTCCTTCCTCTCGGTCTCATTTTTCTCCCCCTGGTTCCTGCGGGCATCTTCATGCCTTTAGGCCTTGGTGGAGGGGAGGGACGCAACAGGAAGGGGAGGGACGGCAGGCCAGGCAAGGCAGCGGGCACTCAATAACTATTTGTGCTTGAAAAGATGTGAGTGCGAGATGGAGAGGGAGGGCAGGGGTGAATTGGGCGAGGCCCGCACAGTTCTTAGGTTCTGCTGGCTGCAGGACCCTAGACGGTCCAGGAAAAAGCCAGGGAGAGGAAGCCATAAGCCCTGCCTCTGGGGCCTGCAGGCTGGGAGGCAGGCATCTGCCCAGAAAGACTCCCTCCTGCTTGAAAGGCTGCTGCGGACTTAGGAGGGAGAGAACACCTAGGATGGGAGGGGAGTCGGGGAAGGCTCCCCAGCACGAGGGAAGGAGATTCAACACCCACCCAGCACTACGCACTGGACTTTGTAGTCACATTATGTGTTATACCCTAAAACTGGGAGCTTATAGACACTCATTTAATACTGACAAGTCCAGGGAGGTGGCCATTATTATTTCCATTTCTCAGATGAGGAAATTAAGGCTTGGCAAGGGGAAATAATTTGAACAAGGGAACATACATTATTTATTTATTTATTAAATTAAAAAATACCGGCTGGGCGTGGTGGCTCACACCTGTAATCCCAGCATTTGGGGAGACGAAGGCAGGTGTTGAGGGGTCTGGGATGGAGCCCAAACAAGTTTGTTTAAAAGAGCCCCTCACTTGAGGCCAAGAGTTCGAGACCAGCATGGCCAACATGGTGAAACTCCCATCTCTAGTAAAAATACAAAAATCAACTGGGTGTGGTGATGCATACCTGTAGTCCCAGCTACTCAGGAGGCTGAGGCAGGAGAATCACCTCAGGAGGCCAAGGTTGCAGTGAGCCGAGATCACACCACTGCATTCCAGCCTGGGCCACAGAGCGAGACCCTGCTCAAAGGAAAAAAAAAAAACACAGTAATAACACTTGTATATATTTATGTGCCAGACATTTTTATAAATGAATCTATATTTAAATTAAATGATTCTGCTTTAAATTATTTAATCCTCACAACACAACTTGGAAGTAGATATCATGATTACTCTTTTTTTTAAAATATAAAGACGGGGTTTCACCATGTTGGTCAGGCTGGTCTTGAACTCCTGACCTCAGGTGATTCGCCCGCCTTGGCCTCCAAAGTGCTTGCATTACAAGCATGAGCCACCACGCCCGGCCAGTATGAAGATTACTCTTATTTTATGGATGAGGAAACTGAGGCCCAGAAAGTTAAGTAACTGGCTCAACTTCAGACAGGCAGCAAGTGGTGAAACTGGGACTCAAAAATCATCCCCCTACCCCCGACGAGAAGCCAGGGCATCTCAGGTTAGCAGCCGAGTCGCAAATCAAGTGTGTTTGATTCAAGGCTCTTTTTCTCATTACACTTTAAGTAGGGATCAGGCAAAGGCCTCCCAGGGTTGTGGCAGCTGGTGGGAGCCCAGCGTGTGGAGCAGCAGTCACAGGAGGACAACGTGTCAGGCGTGCAGGAGGGAGGGATCCTGCTCAGGAGGGAGGCAGGGCAGGTGGACAGGTTCATGCAGCCTGGTGTTGGCCACCAGTGAGTGAATCATGTGGAGCGCGGTGAGTGACTCCTACAGAGGAAATCAGTTGATGAGCTAGAGGGACTGGAGTGAGGCAGTCCTCCAGGGCTGCCCACCTGCCGAAGGTCACCACCAGCAGAGAGAGAAGAGGAAGACGGGGAAGGTGGGACTCTGTGCTGCTTTCCAACTTCGAGGAAAGGGGACAAAGCACTGAAGACCTTTCTGACTAAGCAAGGGAGTGCCGAGTCCAAAGGGAAGGGTTGGCCACTGCAGCCCCTTTCTCTCTGGTCAACAAAGCAGTTCTTCACTCAAAGGAGAGGGCCAGTCATACCTACAATCATGGGAAGCAGAGCCTACAGACATAGTTTTCATCCAGTCCCAGGAACGGTTTAGGCTGGACCTAAGAACTTGGGGTTCTTGAACAATGAAGGAGGTCATGGTAGCATCTTTCCTGGAAATGGCACAGCAGGGGGCCCGGCAGCAGGCGTGGGTGAGGCAAGGGCAGTTTCCCAGACAGAGTCCCTTGGGGAGGGTGGGAAAGCCCTGAGCTAGGGAGTCCATCCCTGCCCGTGGTTCCCTGATGTGGCACCGTGACCCTGCACTCCCTGGGCAGTCTGGACACCAGGCTTTGCTCAGCAGCCCTGGCAGGAGGAAAGCCTGGACTCTTAAGAGTTGACTCCCCTCTAGCCCTGCCACGGTGGTTGAATCCTTCTCATCTCAGGAACCTTGCTACCTCTACGGCAGATGCCATTAAAAAGTTCTTCCTGGCCAGGCGCAGTGGCTCATGCCCGTAATCCCAGCACTTTGGGAGGCCGAGGCAGGCAGATCCCTTGAGGCCAGGAGTTCGAGACCAGCCTGAGCAACACAGTGAAACCCTGTCTGTACAAAAAAAAAAAAAAAGAATTAGCCAGGCGTGGTGGTGTGCACCTGTGGTCCCAGCTCCTCAGGAGGCTGAGGCATGAAAATCATTTGAGCCTCTCACTGCCCTGGCTGTTCATGCTCTGGGCAATCATTGGTTTGTGAGCACCTACTGCTCTTAAAATGTCCTAGGGCCAGGCATGGTGGCTCACACCTATAATCCCGGCACTTTGGGAGGCTGGGGCGGGCAGATCACCTGAGGTCAGGAGTTCAAGACCAGCCTGGCTAACATGACAAAACCCTGTCTCTACTAAAAAATACAAACACTAGCCAGGCGTGGTTCTGTGCACCTGCTACTCGGGAGGCTGAGGTGAGGCAGAGAATTGCTTGAACCTGGGAGGCAGAGATTGTAGGGACCTGAGATCATGCCGCGGCCCTCCAGCCTGGGCAACAGGGTGAGACTCTGTCTCAGAAAAAAAAAAAAAAAATGTCGTAGCCAGGACTGAACTCCACATGTGATCTGAGAGCTCAGAACAGGCTCTAGTGGGGCGATCTCTTTTACCTGGCCTCTGTCCTCAGGGGGTTCACAGGTGAGGGGCACCTGTCTGCGAATACACTGTGGTGTGGGCTGAGCTCGGAGGGACTGTGTGTGGGGAGGACTCCCCTGGGGTTGTGTGTTCACAACCCCCTGGGAGAAAAGACTGGAGATGCTGAGAGGTGGAGAATGGCCTGTGGCACGGCCAGAAGGGGCCAAAGAAGGAGAAGTCAAGGCTTCTAGGTGTCCCTGCAGGTGGGAGAGAGCACTTGCTGGGAGGAAGTTAGTGCGTTTCTTGTGCCCAGCTCTGCCTGGTAATCTGGGAATGCTGGCTGAGTGCTCCGGTAGGGCCTCCGGGTGGGATGGGCCTAGGCAAGTCCCAAGGCTGTCAGGGTGATCATGCGCTCTTCTGTGAGAGGAGACCACCAGGGCTAAGAGGGAGGGAAGAG